GAATAGAGATCAGGAACAACTCTCTGGATCATTATTTAAAGTGAATGTGTTGGGCAACATTAGGTGCACAAGGGTCTTTATAAAGGTTGCAGCCCAAGCAGATTGTTCTTGCTTACGTTGGGGGAATAACGACCCATCTAGTTCACTTAACTGAGTAGAAACGATTGGAGATGTTTGTTCTGTGGCTGACACGTTTCAAGGCTCGATGTCCTCTGCACTGGACATGGCCTTCTCGTCTGGCCACAGGCACCACTTACCTCGGCAGTTCTCTGACTCGTGAACAGCACCTCAACCCAGGCGGGGCATTGACGCCAAGGTGCTCTCCGGACTGTAGGCAACTTCCATGCATCCTCTGCCGTACGCAGCCATCAGCACATACCTGCTTGCGTTCCCGATGCAGGTCCCTGAGTGTGAGCAGCGTCTCCTCCGTCTCTAGTGCCTCGTCCAGTAGCAGTTCCGTGCGCAGTGCTGACTCGGAAGACATGTATGCTGACTTGGCCAGTCCAGTCTCCTCCGCCAGCTCCCGGTCCCTAACCCCAGCGCAGCAGAAGAAAGGTAGAGGTATCTGCCTTTGCAATTACTAATGGGATCCCAGGGAAGGAGCGGAGGGGCAAGATGTGCTTGCATGGTGGTCCCAGGTACTGCATGGCACCTGCTAGGTAGGTGCAGGTAGGGGAGCGGGCTTGTATAGGCCAAGGGAGTCCAAGGTTGTCTGCTTTCAGCCCTCCACGCTAAGAAGACGTGAGGTGGCCTCGTTGGAGCCCTTGTGTCCATACCTGCATGGCTGCCTGAGCAGGTCTCTCCTTGTCCTTTGGATGCCCATTCCCCATCGCTCCTGCCTTTCTCATCATGCCCTAAGAAAGGCTGTGCCAGGCTGAGCTTCCAGCCCCACCTGCTGGGAGGCCTGGCTTATGAAGCCCCAGTTTGCTCTTCCCAGACCCCAGCAGAACCTGACATGAGCCCCTGTCACTCCTTACCTGTCACTATGTTCAGATTTCCCCAGGGGAGAGAACTAGTTTCCTTCAGCTCTCAGTGCTGGGGGCCGCATGCTGTAGGCCCCCAAAGCACCTTTCTGCCTTGCCCCTGGAGGGGAGGAGGGGTAGAAGGGTTTATGGCAAGGCTTCTGGTTCCAGCAGGAAAAACAAAGAAGGAAGATAGCGCCAAGGAAGAGAAACGGAAACGGGAGACGCCTGCCCAGGCCCTGAAGTCAGCCAAGCCTGCGCCTGGGAGCAAATCCCAGCAGCTGCTCCCATCCCAGCAGCCCGCAGCACCCCAGGCTCAGCAGGGCGGCTTCAGTGCCCACAAGGAGATCAAGCTGACACTGTTAAACAAAGTGAGTGCCTGGGCTTGTTCTCCAGCTGATCCCCAGGGGAGGGGGGGCAGGATCAGCACCTGGGCCTCTGGGCTGGGGTGGAGCATGGGGGTACCAGCGATGTTGCCCTGTCGGCCCTCACTTTTGGCTCTATTTATCTATGCTGGAACCGTTGTTGGTCGTCTTTACAGGCACTATGCTGCCTCTGGGGCAAGTGGTCAGACAGAAGGTCCTGTCCTTCAGTGAGGGGCACCATTGTGCTCCTGACCCCATGCAGGGGGAGAAGGGGATGGGGAAGTTCAGTTCCTTGCTGCAGTGGGGTGTTGGCTCCAGTGTCCAGATAGGGTCCGGGCCAGAGCAGGAACTTCAGCCAGCCTCAGTTAGCTTTGCCATTTCCAGCACCGAGGAAACCTTGCTTTGCTTCTGTGCCCTCAACTCAAGCAAGCGCTGTTACTGCAGGTGAATGGGATCCTGGTTGTAAAGACTGGTAGGTTCCTGCGGTACAGGGTACACTGGGTGAACAGAAGGCCTGCATTGGGGGATACTCTGCATTATAGGATACAGTGTTGGAATCCCATCCCCCAGGAGACCACCCAAAATGCCACTGCTTTTATTCCCTTTTGCCCTGAACTGTAAAACATCCCACCAGAAGCATGGCTCGACGGTAGCCGCAGCGCACAGCTAAGCGTTGCTGTTCGTCGTAATGGTGAATACTTGTGCACACTGCGTGATTCCTTCCTAGGCAAGCATTTAGTGGTTCAGGTGGCTAGTGCACAGGGAGGACATCTTCTAGGCCACTTCTAGGAGCACCGTGAAGATCCCAGGCCAGCGTGCCTGGCTGATATGGCAACTCCAGGGCTGGAATTGCCAGCCACCCCCATCCCCTCTGTCTGCTTCCCTTTCAGGCAGCTGATAAAGGCAGCAGGAAGAGATATGAGCCAGCAGACAAGGACCGGCAAGCCTCTCCGCCAGCCAAGCGAGCCAACCTGTCACCTGACAGAGGTGAGGAGTATGAGAGATGCACCCATGGGCCAGGGGCTCTGGCAGCGTGGCAAGGGCAGGCTGCTGGTAGAGGAGCATTGGGCACAGGGCAGGCAGTGGGTTAGGTTTACAGAAGCTTTTGCTTCAGAATGTGCCTGACAAGTGGAGAAATTGCTGGCATGCACTCCGCCAAGATCTGGTGGTGTCTTCCTTCTCCTAAACAGGTAGTTACTATGGGGCATCTCATGCACATAAGCCACCTGCTGTAAAATGCCCAGCAGAGGCTAGGAGCTTGTTACTGCAAGGTGAATTGAGCCTGGGTGGGTGCACCGCCAACTTCACCTCGGCCTCAGACTGCAGCTGCCTTGTCTTCACTCTCTTGTGTGGCCTCCCCTGCATGCTCCTTCCCCACTGTTGTCCTTTGCTGTGGCAGGCAGAGTCTGCAAACTCTGAGAAACGCCCAGGTCTGGAGCTCTCGTCCAGCTGGTGTGGTTGTCCCAACCCTCTGATCCAGGCATCAATATTGTCCTGGCCAGATGATCTGTGAAAAGGCTGCTTAAGGCAGTCTAGCGGGCTTTGCAGCCTCTCCGCTTCCCACTTCAGTGGGTCAGATCTGAACCCCTTGCTGCTACGCGTTGTCCACTAGCACCTAGAAGTTGGCTCCTGCTAGAGCCAGGTTAGATAACCGGCTACAACAAGGGCTGCAGTCTGCCATGTGTGTTGCTAAAGAACAGCCAAGAGGAGGTCAGTAGGGGAGGTGCACCTGCTCAGGCCTGAGTTGTACCAGCTGGCTGGGCCATGTGATGTTTTCCCCAGACACCTCTATCAGTGCATCGTGTTGACTGTGGCTGGCAGCCAGAAATAATTTTCTGAGTACTGTCATAACCCTCTTGCATTCCATCACTGCAGAGGTGACTGGAGAAATTAGGCGAGGGGAAAAATCAGGAGGACGTAGTTCACAGCTACTGTCACTCTGCTCACACAGTCAAAAGCTCCTGCCTTCAGTGGTCTGGAGCCTGGCTGACCGCTGCGGCCACACTCTTGACTTGCTGAGTGCCCAGGGAGGTGGCAGGCAGGAAGCGCAGTCCTCCTGAGCCTCCTTTCATGTGCCTGCAGCGAGTAGCTTGCCCGAATACAGTGCAAGGCAGCGTGTTGCTTCAGGTGTCTTCTGTTCAGTTTTAGGCAGGCCTGCAGGTACACGGGGCACCATCTGGGCAGATGCAACAGTGATGGCCTAAAAACCCAACAGGAGGGCCGTGCTCTGGCAACCACAGAGACAAGTGGACAAAGCCATCTGCCTTGCATGCCTCGGGGGGTGTGCTTCGGATAGGTCAGCAAGTGCTTGTCATGATGCTACAGCCAGGACTGTCTTGACTGGCACAACTCAGTCCTGCTAGGGACCAGTTTTTTGCTCAGAGCACTGCAGCAGGGTTTGGCAGCAGGCCAGGGCTGACAGGCCTTTCCTTTCCAGTAGGTGCTCGTGATAGGAAACCTGCCGGGAGGCTCTCCTCACCCAAGCAAGAGCGCCAGAGAGGTCAGAACCCCAAGCCCACCCCTGCACAGGCTGACAGGTCAGTACATCCCCCTGTCCTTGCCGCGTGATGCCCCATGTGCATTGGTTTTGCAGAAGAGGAAAAGCCTTGGCTTGTTGTCTGGGGGGATGGCTGCACACCCAAGGACTAGAGCAGGGACTGCTTCCATCACGCTGCAAGACAGGGGCGGCCCTCGCCAGCAAGGAGCCAGGGTCAAACCCATGTTGGGTTCAAGGGAACTGGGATGACACCTGTGTGAGGGAGCGTGGGGACTTGGTGCTACCCATGCCACAGCAAGACCCCGCAGCTCCTGGGCATATTTCCCTTGCACTAGAACAGGTTCTGTCTATCCTATTAAGACCCCCCCCACCCCCTGTGCCACTCCTTGTTTTGAAGTACTTTGTGGGTCCTGTGGGCAGATGGACACCAGCAGTGAGGATGTCAGCTCTGCAGCTCCCTAAGCAAAACCTCGTGGAGCTCAGGTTGCATAGCCCTCTATGAGCACTGCTCCGGCTCGGAGACCCCAGGGGGCCCAGGCCACAGTGTGTCCCCTCTCAGCTGCCCATTGTGCACCACTGCATTTCTTCTTTCTAACCTGGGGGGAGAACAAATGACTTTAGGCCCTGATGATAGGGACCTGGTGTAGCCTGCTCATTCTTTGTCCCGTGTGATCTCAGATGAGTGCAGGGCCCATTGACTGCACCCGGAGAGAGTGAGGGGTGTGGAGTCAGGGGCTTGTTACATTAGCCAGGAGTGGGATGTCACCATAGTTTGTTCTGGGGCCCCGGGGCTGGTGATGGCTTTGGTCCAGCTTGCCACATGGGTCCCACACACCACAGCTTTGTGCTTCCTAGCTCCTGCCCTGCCAGAACATGGGCAAGTGCTGCAAGTAGCATGGCTGCATCCCACATGGCCTGTGCCATGAGGTTAATGCTGCCCTCTTCCTCAGTTGAGGGGCCAGACACATGAGTCTCCTTGTCTCATGGGAAGTGGAGCAAAGCCCACTGTAAAAATTCTAGGCCTCGTGGTGCTCGGCTATTGGCAGGATCTTGTCCTTCCTCAGCAGGCCAGCGGTGCGGCCAGGACCATATTCACTGACTGCCAGAGTGAACGTCAGCTCTGCTGGAGTGACATTTTGCTAGCTCCCAACCTTGTACCCATCGCTGTTTGGCAGGCGGGTAATGCCAAGGGCTGCAAGAGCACCAAGTTCAAGGGCTAGCAGGGAAGGGAAGGAAGAGCCCATTTGTGGCAGCTGGCAGCTCACCCCCTACTGTTCCCCTTCCCGGTTTCAAGCACTCCCCAGTTCACATGTGAACAGCCAGAGTTAACACTTCTCCTCCCCGTGTGACCTGCTCCCATCAGGTTCTCAGGACAGCTCCTCTGGAGACAGGTGACAGGAAGAGTATGTTAGGCCAGGCTGCAGCCTGGTCCTGTGACCGTCGGCTGGCAGTCATGTGCAGGGTTATCTACAGCGTGACGTAATCCCCAGTGCTGGGGCGGGAGAGCACTGTGCTGCACTTCCTGGCTTCCGCATGTCATTGCCTGCTCCCTTATGGAAGCAGGGTCCTTCACCCCCACAGTGCAGGGCAGGGCAGTTAGTTGAATCTCCTGCAAGTGGAGCTGTCAGGCTCTAGTATTCAGTCCCATCTCCCATCCTTCCTCTGCAGCCTCGCGTCTGCGTGGCTCCAGGCCCGTGTTTAGTGCTGGTCTTGACCCAGGATCGGTGTTTGCAGGACGGCGACCCCTTTGTGATCCAGCCATCCCTGCTCACCATGCTCTCTCTATCTCTCTCCTCCCATTAGGAAACGCCAGCTTTCGCCCCAATCCAAGAGCTCCAGCAAAGTCACGAGCGTCCCAGGCAAGGCGTCTGAGCCGGGCGCGCCAGCCGCCGGCGCCAAGGCAGGCAAGTCCAGCACGCTGTCGCGGCGGGAGGAGCTCCTGAAGCAGCTGAAAGCGGTGGAAGACGCCATTGCTCGCAAAAGGGCCAAAATCCCCGGGAAAGTATAGTTGGGCGCGGCCGCAGTCCCACCTCGGCCTGGCCTAGCAACTCTGAGCTGTTTTTATACGTAGCGCAATGCGGCCACTGGATTTGGCGGTTCTGTCTGATGATTTTTTTTTTTTTATTTTGGCCACGGTTCTTTTAAAACAAAAATTACCAAGTTTGGCAGCAGCAAACACGCAAATGATGCGACTCACCCTGGCTCCTACCCTAGGGCCATGCGGCGGGGGCCGCCAGCCCCGCAAGACAGACCGAGCCGGCACCACGACGGAGGCCCAGCCACCCCACCAGGTTTTCCATGTAAATTATGCACAGAGGACTCCAGATTGCAGCCCTGTTGGATACATTCACTACTTTCCTCTCTCTCTCTCTTTCTCTCTCTTTCTCTCTGCCCCCCCCCAGCCCATTTCTTTCTGCCTTCTCCTCTTTGCTAGCCATGAGTTGTATTCTTCTAGTTAGCCTTGCTGTGTGGTTGAGTGTCTTCAGCAATGCAGTTCTATATACTGTGTAACGAGAACCGAAAACTGCTGTGAACTACTGGCGACATCATCTTCTCTTCCTGCCCCCCACCGCCGCCCCCCCCTCCCTCCAGCCCTCTCCCAGGAGCAAGACAAATATATATATATTCTTGACGAAAGTCTGATTGGGAAATACGACCTGTCTTTTATTTTAAGCATCAGATTGTTTTAGTTGATTTAAAAAAAAAACCCACAAACAAAAAAAAAAAAAAAAAAAAAAAAAAA